GAGAAGCTCAATGTTTAGCTGAGCAGCAAGATGACAGAAGACACCGCCCTTGTCGCCTGCCTGGCTGGAGGCCCCAGTGCAGGCTCCGGGCACTGGACGTTCCCATGCAGCCTGCTCGCAGGAACGGCCAGCAGGCTTTGTGGTGTTCCCCCGGCTGCCAGTCATGTCAGCTGACGTGGCCAGGGTGTCACCGCTTGGGGGAGAGTGCCGAGCTGTGCAGGTGGCTCCAGCTCTGAAGACGCGAGGGCCATTCCCGGGGACCCCCACAGTAGGTCTGGGTGGCCCCCTCAGCTGTAAAGCAGAGCCGCGAGCCATGGGTCCAGGCCGTGTCCTGAGCACAGGTTCGGTCCGGCTCCGGTGGGCCGGGTCGCCTCCCCGCCCCGGCAAGAACTGGCGAGGAGGTGGTCCGCTGCCGGCTTGCTCACGAGGGTTTGGAGTGTCTGTGATGACCAGGCTCTGTGTGGCCACAGACAAGCGCACTGCAGGAGCGTGGCTGATCGCTGAGCTGCCCTCCAACAGTCACTGGAGGTTTGGGTGTTCTCATTTCTCCCACCACTGGCCCCATGAAGACAGCCCAGTGTCTCCTGGGAATTGGGTGAGACCTTCTGGCTGGCGCTGGGCACTCCGACCAGCAGGGTCCACCCCGGCCCTGACGGACAGCCTCGGTTGTGGGGAGGGGGGCCTGGCTGTGAGGAGGGGCGGCAAGGACTAAGCTGGGGGGCTGCGGGCCTGGGAACTGGCTCTGGTTCTGGGCTGAGGGCTCCCACATGTCTCCCTTCATCTCAAAGGGACAAGGGTGGGACTGGAGAGGCCTGGGTAGTCAGGAGGGTGGTGCCAGGCATGCAAAGGTCTACCCATTGCCTCCTGAGCTGGGCTGCAGGCTGAGGACTGGCTACCTCTTGGAGCTGAGGAATGAGGACCACTGGGGTGGGAGGCCGGAGCAGGCTGGGTGTGTGCGTGCATATGTGTGTGTAGTGTGCAGGTATGTGCACAGGCGTGTGCATGTGCATGCGTGCCCGTAGGCCCTCCCCACGTGGAGCACAGTGCCTGCCCCCGCTCCTGGCTCTGCCACTCCTCACTCCCGATCTGGCCCCTGGCTTCCCCTGCCTCCATCCCCTCCGCGAAGCAGCCTCATTTCTTTCATAAATTCAGCCTGGACATGGTTTCCACGGTGTTTGATAAAAATTGGAACTCAAATCGTAATTGTGGGGAGTGGGGGACATGGGAGGAAGGAGGGAGTGGGGGTTGGAGGATGGGCCGGGGAGGACGAGCTGGGGCGGGAGGGCGGGGGGGGGGGGGGGGTGGAGCTTCCCAGCCCAGGCTCCCGCAGCAAGCTAGTGGCTGTTTTTTCTTTTATCCCTTCAAGTGTATTTTCAAATGTATAGAGTTCTCCCCCAAGCCCTCCTCTGGTTGCTTAGCAATGGCGATGGAGCCCGAGGTGCCCTCCCTCTGAGGGTGGTGGATTCCTTTCCGGTCCACTTGCTGGAATAGAGATTCAGCGCAGAGAACCTGTGGGGCGGGTGGAGGGCCTGGGTGCATGTGCTCGTGAGACGGCGCTGAGCTGTGGCTAGGGTTCGGGACTGCCTGTGCACGTTCCCCAAATTTCTGTCTCGATGACCAGCCTGAAACTCCACCATTAGAATTCCATTCCTTCGGATGCTTTTATAAAATGTCGGGCCTCTGCTGGAACTCACGGTGAGTGATGGGAGTCCGCGCCTTCCCTGCTGGCTGTAGGGGTGGCGGTGCCTCAAAAGCACAGAGGGTGTGGCCCTTGGATCCTCACGCCTCCCCCCTGAGCAATCAGAGCAGGGTGGCGAGCAGCACCCGGAATGGTGGGTGGACAGGAGGCTGGGAAGGGCTGGGCAGTCGTTCCTGCACTCGGTGGGCCTGGGACGCTGCAGCACAAGTTGCTGCGGGTGAAGGTTCCCAGGCCACCAGAGCTTCTGCTCACACGAGCAGGGGGGTTGGGGGGAGACTGGGACGCCAGTCGGGGTCAGTACTGCTGTGCTGTCCAGGCTGCCAGGGCCCTGAGGGGAATGGACAGAGGGCTCTCTCAGCCTGAGAAGACACTTTCCTTTCCGACCACCAAGGCTGGGGCCTGGGTGACCCTGCTGTGGTGAGATCCAGGCAGAGCAGAGGTAGCAGGAAAGGGGAGAGTGTGGGGATGCCCCGATTCAGAAGGCACCTCCTGTGGGTAGGTGTCCAGGCTGTCTGCTGGCAGAAGGTAGCAGACAGTGGTGGCTTTCTGAGGGGACAGCTAGTGCCCCTGCCCTGTTCCCAGGCCCCCCAACTGCTGACCCCTAGCTTTGTTCCCTCAGTTCCCTCAGTTGGAGTGTGGAGACCAGAGTCAGACGTCAGAGAACCCACACTCCCTTCCTCAGGTCTCTGTGCCCAGAGCACAGACCAGGAAATTGAGACTCAGAAGGGGCTAGTGTGGGCTCAGGGCTCCTTGGCACCAGGCTGGGAGGGGACCCCATGGCCCACAGGGGGTTGCTCCTGCACCAGCCCCTCTTCCTCCACGGCTTCCCGAAGCTCTGGAGAGTGGATGGGACCTGAACTGGGGGATCCTGGCCCCCAAGCCCCAGCCTCTCAGAGACACGACCAAAGCCCACATGTGTTGGTTAAAGGGCCCCAGTGAGGGGCTGTCTGCTGTGCTAGCAAATATCTGTTGAATGAGTGCATGAATGAATGAGTGAGTGAATGGATGAGTGAGTGAGTGAATGAGTGGATGGATGAATGAATGACTGGATGAGTGAGTGAATGAATGGATGAATGAATGAGCGAATGGATGAGTGAGTGAGTGATGAATGAGTGGATGAGTGAGTGAATGAATGAGTGAGTAGACGAATGAGTGAGTGGATGGATGAGTGAGTGAATAGATGAATGAGTGAACGGATGGGTGAGTGGACAAATGAATGAGTGGATGGATAAGTGGATGGATGAGAGTGAATGGGTGAGTGGATGAGTCAGTGAATGAATGAATGAGTGAGTGGATGGATGAATGAGTGAATGGATGAGTCAGTGAATGAATGAATGAGTGAATGGATGAGTGAGTGAATGGATGAATGAGTGAGTGTATGGATGCACACAGGCGCACAGCAGTGGAACCAGTCACCGGGGGCTACCATTTCCTTTATTGAGAGACTTGGGATTCTGTCGATGGCTATACATTGAGGCAGGGGTGTGAAGTGACACGACTACTGACCAGTCACTGGGGTCACTGGACTCCAAGACTGGACCTGCCAACACATGGAGCCCTGGAGTGACAACATGACGACGCGGGAGCTGCCGCGGCACCAGGAAGGCTGGGCGGGTGCACAGGCCTGCATAGCAGCAGCACAGTGGTCGTGGGGTTGCAGCGGTAGACACACCCGGCTGCGTCCAGAAGGGTCTGGGTGGTGGGGGTCTCCATCTTGTGTCCACTCTGCCTCACCTCAGAGAACTGTCTCTCTGTCCATTCTGGGCGGGGTCCTCCGGGACAGTCACCTGCAGCCGGCAGGGCCCCGCTGTGGGCCTGCTCCCTGGCCGTTCTGGAGCCGGGCTCCATGGGGCGCAGCAGAATGGCTGGGTCTGAAGGGCGGTGCTCCTGGTGGGAGACTGAGTCCAGGGACTCTGGGCTAGGACGAGTCCCGAGTCCTGAGTCCACGCGGCCCACGCGGCCCACGCGGCTGCCGCTGTCTCCCAGGCCCAGGGGGAGCTCCTAGGGAAAGGCCTGTGTCTTGCTCTCTCTGGGCCCTTCTGCCCCGGAGGCCTGGCTGGCCCAGGCCAGCTCCCCCCCGACCTTTCCGGGATCGGAGACCTTCGCGGGGCTAGGCTGGCGCGGCGTTTGGAGACGGGCTCCTCCAGATCAAGGAGGCGCCTGCTTTTCTGGTGCCGGGAGCCGGGCTGGGCCGCTGCCTGCCAGCTGGTGACAAACAAGTCTGGCCTCCGCCTGGCTGCCGGCCCGGCCCGCAGCTCCTCCT